CGATAGTGAGTGAACTCCCCACAGGCGAAACAGGCTCCGACACCACGTCCTGTGAATGGCGTCCCTGAATATGACGTTCCTGGATAGGAGGCTCCTTGTGATGGACGAAAGTTCCGTATCCCCGGACAATTTTGCTGTCCTCTCTCTGTGAATCCGAACGAAGGCCCCATCCCGGGATGACCGCCACCAGCAGCAGCAAAAGTGCTAGGCCTTGCAGCATTAAAATATGGTGACTTGTGCTGGCTTTGTTTCTTGGACTTTTTTCTGGCGCACAGCCCGCGCCTCAGCCTACCGAATACGGGATTCATCATCTGAATCACTAGCCACGGGATTCGCCTCGTACTGACACACTGTATCCCAACCGGCCTCGGACGAGTCAGCAATACGAATCAGCTTATTTCTCTGCTTCAACTTTCTGCCAATCTCTGTTAAAATCTCTCTGGCATGAGACACTTTGTCGTTACACACCCACAAGATTGGGTAACGGAATCTAACAAATCTCCATTAAATACGTACTGAATTCAGTTTCCCGTGTATTTCCAGATCAGGTCCTTCTCCGATTTCAGTTTTTTCACCTCATTTGAAACAGCCTGAGAATTGCCTCGAACCTCATCTCGTAAAGAATTTAACTCTGCTTTCTGCCCTTTAAACTCACTCAGAAGTTCCCTCAAAGTATCGTTTAACTCCGATTGCCCGCTCTGCTCCGTCATAGTGTAACAAAGCTAAACGAAGAAAAAATAGATGAATGACTACAACCTGGTAGGAATCCCCCCAGTTCCTTGTGCTACCGCCGCCCCATCTATGGCGCGTCACAAAGCCAAGGGAAATAATTTTTCATCTTATTCGTTACACTCAACCGAGGAAAAATACATTAAACTGGACAGCCTACACCAAATATTCACATAAAAGGACAGACACTAGAATGTCCAGAATGTTACGTAAATTCCATAAATTTCATCTTTTGATATATAAATCAATACATGGTATATGTGAAAGGGGCGAGTAGCTTTCCTTTTGGGTAAAATACATAATTTTTATTTCAAATATTTTAAAATTTCATTCTAAAAAAAATCATTATCACGTCACCTGGACAGACATGCGTAGTGGCTGTACCAGTTACGTAAACAAAGGTACAAAATATGCCATTATCTGGAATAATTTTGTCGCAAAACAAATTTGCAACTTGTAAAATGCCTCAAAATGCATTGTTTGCATTAATAGGTTCAGTTTTATTTAAACTCTTCGAAATTCAACCGATCACACAAAACCACGTAAAGGGGACGTACAAAATGCTGTCTGTCTACGTTACGTAAACAAAGCTGTCCCAGAAATTGTTTATTTGTATCATCCCACGATTTATTCATTTCCGTGTGACAAAACATCGGACACTTCATGTACAGTTGTTACAGAAAATAGCCATTAATTAGAGTCAAACAACACGCTAGACTGAGGACTATCCAAGATTTTTAGGATCACAATCATTGTTTAAGTAACTTACCAATTTCACGCAACACTGGGACAGATTCCAATAACACGTGTGTCTATCCGCTTCCCACAACATCCGGTCTTGTCGGTGAGGTAAGTGCTGCCGACATCTAACCCCTTGGCCTTGTCAAGCTGGCACAGCTTGACGTAATCGGTGTAGGGCCTGCCGTTTTTTCCAATAGCATGTGCATTTCTAATCAGGATATTTAGTTTTGCTATTGTGGCCTTGTTTATTAAAGTTAGTGTTTTTGCACCCACTGTTTCGTGTTCAGGCATGGTCCTTGCATTTATTTTTGCTAGGATCTTTCTGTGGCCTTCGGAAGCATCATGCGCTTTAACAGTTTCCAAACGATAGTTTGTAGTGCCGGTGAAAAAACTACCAGACATGCAGCCTGCCCCACAGGTCATACCATTGGCTGGGTCATACTCTAGCCACGGGTATGACGATTTCCACGCTGGCTGGAACGCACGCATCCTTTTCGTCTTATCGTAGACACGCTGGCCATCTATTTTCTCCTCCTGCGATTTACGTTTGGAAGGTGGAGGGCGAGCGCCGTCCAAATACTTTCACATAACAACCTTGATGTAAGTAGTTATACTATTGGATAATGATGTACCTACTATTAGCTTCACTACTATTTGTATCAACTGCTTCAAGTAACACACGCATGCGATGTGGTTGCGATGTAAATATACCTCGCTATGAGAGCGTACCTAACTGATTAGTTGCGTCATTTCTACAATCAGACCGTTTGTTCTATGTCAACAGTTTTAACTTCGTTGCTAAAGGAAACAAAATGAAACCTATGTAAATGCAGCACAATTCTTCTGTTGAATGTTGAAGTATCAAACAAAATTTAATATGTAGCGAAACGCTGGGTTTATTTATCTTTCTTAGATTCTTTATACAGTGTTAAAAAAACCAGTTTTAATAAATTATTTTACGATATCCCCCGTTAAAACAAAAAGAAAAGAATAACTAATTACTAATAAATACAATTGAAAATTGATGTCTCTTCTTTGTAGGATGAAAATTTATCTTGAAAAAAAGAGAGGGCAAGAAATCTTTTACACGTATATAGTACTCGAACCGTTCAAAATTTTAGAAAAGTGTTTTCAACAATACTACTGTTATGATACAATAGATACCCCTATATCTATGATCCAAGTGGCTGCTTTGAAATTTTCATGGACTACCAATATTTTTTCCTTTTTTGTGTGTTTTGTTCAGCTGTTTGTTTAGCCCTGTTTTCTTCACGAAAAAAGGAAGCGTTGCACAATAATTGTTTTTCTATAAAGCCACAAAGTGCTAGATTCTAATGAAAAACCAAGGAAGTACCCTAAAAGTAGGATTTATCATGGAAAAAACATTTAAGATGTTAAGAAACCCCTACTTTCAGTACCGAAAAGTTGAAAGTTGCTAAGACACTTTCAGTACTGAGCCAGATTCGGAGTTGCTTATAACAAATACGTGAATTCTGGCATTTTCTTTAAAGGGCATTTTCACTAAAGGCATTTTCTTTAAACAAAAGCGGCTTGGTTTATAGGCCAAAACAAATTGGGCTATTAAACATCTCCCTGAAAAACTAGCTATAGTGCCTGCATTTGAATTTTCGACTGATGGCATTAAAACAGGATTTTCACTCAATATTCAATAACACTGCACTTAAGTTTTTAATGAAAAAACGTGCAGCAGAAAAGAAGGCCTAATTTCCTACAAAGTAAGGATAGAAATCTCTGTTTGAATTTACCTTTGCTGGCTTTTTTTCGACGTGCTTGGGAATGCAAATAATGCTATAGAAGCTTGCCGGTATCTTTTTGGATCTGGCTCCATTACAAATTATATTACTCTTTCTTGAATCTTTCTTGAATTTCTTGTATCATTTGTCGCTAGCCGCCATATTTGTTTAGATGCTTACAGTTGCTATGGAAAATTGGGTTCAGACTGGCTAAAACTGGGTAAATAAACGGTGGTGACATCTACAGGGAAGAATAATGTTCAAGGTAGCTTGTGGTAAAGATTGGGAGAAAATCATTCACTGGAAGGTGGTGCCATCGAGTAGAGAAAATGAGAATAAATTTGGCCACTGAGGCTGCCTATGGAGCTGGTTTCTCACTAGCTTGACAAGATGACATGCATCAAACACAAAGTACACTTTCTCCTCAGGATGCAGTGGGTGACTGAAATAGGGGGTCAGTGATTCTGCAGAGATGGTGCACCCCAATGATGATGCAGTTGTCTGATTTGCATATGAACCATCACACACTATGCCATGTACATTCAATCCTGCTTCAGTGAGAGAGCAAATCAGCTGTTTGATGACCTCTGCTTGAACTCTTCCAGGTAAATGATCAACAAGATAGTATGCGACCGGAAATTTCCAACTATTGGTCAATCCAACTACCATAAAGACGAGGGCTTCTGTAGCAAGTCTATCATTGTCTGTTGGAAGAAAATTGCCACAGTCACTAAAACCACCGTATGAATGATCGAGGAAGGGTAAGGGTGGTGGGGGGGAGTGGTACCTAATTATAAAGACTAAATACTAGTAGACTCAAACTACAGGTACTAAGTGCAGTTAAAAACAATATGATTGGCTTAATTTACCTATAAACTAAGTTTGAGCTTACCTTATTATATTAAGTTATTTGAACCACAGCACAGGCTTGCAGGGGGTTACTTGCTAACATTTTCTTTTTTAACAACTCTTAATTGTGCTCAAGCTTAAAGACTTTAGAAGACTAAGACAAGAAATAGACATAGAAAGGCAAGCGACTAGACTTAGAGGTCTACAAAAATACAGCTTCATTAAAGTTTATAGTTGCCTAAAAACATACATAGACTAGAGTCTACATGACATAAAATTAAAAACAAAGTAAATTCTCCCCTGTCATATAATCCTCCTTCAGGAAATGTTTGCTGCAGAGATAATTGTATTTTCTGGGAGTGAAATCGTCTCGGCTGATCTTCACAAGCCACCGTTTAATTAATGCTGGGTTGCTAAGAGGCAGTCTGAAAAGGGGGAAAAAAGTCAAAAGTGACTAAAACAAATATTTATCCCACCCCACTCAGTATTATTTAGGGTATGCTTGTTCCCTCCCTAAAGCTGCACCCCCTTATCTCCGGCACAGCCAAATGGCGAGCTCATGCTCGGTCTAGCAAAGCACAATACTGGTAAATGGGGTAATAACCATTTACACAGCACATGCAACAAATCCAATTTCAAAGTAAACAACTTGAGTCCCCTGTTTGCAAAGTAACGAGTTCATGCCTCTAAAACAGCTTGCATAAATTTAATAAAAATTAATATGGGAACTTACCTGTGAAAGATTATGCCACTTCCCTTTTTGTAACTGTTATTGCAACCGTATGCAACACATGAATTTGGCATTTTCGATTCTGCCGTCCATTCAATTAGGGAAATCCTGTGAAGTGTGAGTAGAAGAAGTTTCCCCTATCAGTAATGGCGGCTACCGCTCCACGAAATCGCAGCGATTTGATGGAGTCCGCCCTCTAGGGGCTCTAATATACAACTTTATGGTTCAGACTGGCTAAAACTGGGTAAATAAACATGTGGTGACATCTACAGGGAAGAATAATGTTCAAGGTAGCTTGTGGTAAAGATTGGGAGAAAATCATTCACTGGAAGGTGGTGCCATCGAGTAAAGAAAATGAGAATAAATTTGGCCACTGAGGTGGCTTATGGAGCTGCTGAGAAAATCGCGTTGGCCACTGACATGGCCTATGGAGTGCAAAGGGTTAAATTATAAAAACTGTGCCTTGAATCTGCTGTTGACAAAATTGTCACTGTGTGCTGTGCATTGACAAATTGGTGTGAATCTGTTGTACCATTGAACTGACTACCCATGCCAGTGCTTACCACATTACTGGTAGTGTAAAATTGTTGTACGTTAATCTGATGCTGATGCAATACCGTGCGCAGAAAAGATGTACAGGTTGTGCTATGTACATGTAATGTATCAAGTATATTTTGCGAATTTAAAGTGCCAATGCTAATTAAATAAATTATCATGTCAGGTAATTAAAATTTTCAATCTCAATATATATATATATATATTGAGATTGCAAATTTTAATTACCTGACATGATAATTTATTTAATTAGCATTGGCACTTTAAATTTGCAAAATATACATGATACATTACATGTACATAGCACAACCTGTACATCTTTTGTGCGCACGGTATTGCATCAGCATCAGATTAACATACAACAATTTTACACTACCAGTAACGTGGTAAGTACTGGCATGGGTAGTCAGTTAAATGGCACAACAGATTCACACCAATTTGTCAATGCACAGCACACAGTGACAATTTTGTCAACAGCAGGTACATCACCAGGTGCATTGTTCATAAAGTCTATTGGGAGAGTATCTGACAAAATTTGATACTTGTTCCGCGCCAAGCCAATCACACGTTCAACATGAATCCGTACATGTGCAATGTTTCGGGTCGATTCAACTTCAAGAGCAGGTAACTGGGCTCTTCCTTTTGTGAAACTCGGGATTTTTACCTCTGCACACATCAATCCAACACTTTCTTTTATATCAAACCCTCTGTCTGCCAGAATCAGGTCACCAGGCAGGAGTTTGTTCAGTAGCCCACTATGTTCAGTTATGTATTTGTCACTAGCACGGCCACCCCATGCTTTCGAGAGAAAGGAAATAGATCCTTGTGGAGTGATACCTATCAGAAATTTCACAGTGTTGTGGCTCTTGTATGATGACCATGTTTTTGCACGGGCAAGCAAGTTGGATGAATTTCGAAGCAGTCAATAATAACGACAACTTTCAAACCAAAATGTTTTCGGAATTCCATGGGCATAGTCATCTGCAGCTCATCTCGTTCTGGCCAAAACACAAACCCCCTTAACCTCATATACAGAACATGGATCACAATCAGGAAAGTCCTCGAAGCTGTTGACTGTGAAATGTTAAAAACATAGGCCAGGTATTGAAGATTAGCATTAAGTCGGAGTTTCATCAAAACAAGCATCAGTTTCTGAAAGCGCGTAAATGGCACACGCGAACTTTCTGGTATGTGGTCCTTAACAAAATTAAACAAAGTTATCAGTGTCAGAAATGTAGGAAGGCCGGTGTAACAAATTACCTTTCTGTCGTTGTCTCGGAATGATTCCTCACTGACGGTGGACTCTGACAGTCTATATTTTAGCTCCAAGTTTTCTGTAGTCAGTTGTTGACATACCTCAGTAGTTTTCTGGAGTAGTTCAGTAGTCACTGTGCTGCCACAATCCTTGGATGCATTAATATTGTTGTCAGCAGGTTTCTCCTCTGAAATCTGCTCTCCAGCCAACTCAAAATGACAAAGTGTATTTTCTGGAAACGGTGTAGCTAATGTTGGTGGCACCGTGACAGTACAACACCGTGACTTTATTATACTATGTAAACCAACTTAAACGGTGAAAAATACACAATACAATAATATTGAAATCCGCTGTCTTTACATTATAATATAAATGACAATGTAAAAGACTAAAGAGTGCCCCCGATTGGTTTGTTTACTTTTATCACGTTGGGCATGTAACATGGTTGGCTTACATGTAAGCACACTATAAACATTGTCTAGTTTGACGAAATATTATCGATCATTAGATTGAGAAGTGAAATGACGAAATTTGTTATTATGTTATCATCGTTATTTCTTACCAGTAACAAAATGATCACCGCAAACTTTAGCATGGATGGAGGGGTTGAATTCCTTTCGACCGATTCTCGCGATCCACTTCTCTCGTTTCAATTTACTCAAATCCTTCGTCTGTTGATCTTCTACCATTCCATTACAGTCGTCACTAGGGCATCTGTATCTTGTAATAACTGGGTGAAGGGTCACAGAGTCCTGGGCCCAGTGAGCCCCTTGAATTTCATCTTGGGCAAAACAGGTGAAGTTTTCAGCAGTCTATTGTCAAAGACAGTGTTTTGTCAGGAAAGTTTTCCTTGCGGTGGAGTTTCGAAAACTGCTCTTGCTGCCATTTTGCTTCAAAAAGGTGATTGGACAGGAAGTTGATCGGGTCCATACCTATGTGTCCCGGTACCTATGTGTCCCGGTACCTATGTGTCCCAGTACCCAGGTACCTATGTATCCCGTTACCTATGTTTCCCGGTACCTATGTGTCCCGGTATCTATGTGTCCCAGTACCCAGGTACCTATGTATCCCGTCACCAACAATGTGATAATGGCACAGATCACTTGAACCATTAAGTTTGCCAGAGGCTGGTACATTTAACAAATCATTGTCTAGTCCAACTTCCAGAGTTGAATCCCCAAAAATACCAGCATCGCCATTTCGACCAGGTGCACCAGCTGATACATAGTATACATAGCATACATCGCTTGTCGCCTTCTTCAGTTTTTGTACAACGCCTGCCTTCTTTTCCATCATCACAGCGGCTCCATCCGTTCCGGTGGCCACAAGCTTTGACTTCCATGCCTCCCCAAACCTTTCGCTCATCAGGCCTGTGATTGCTCGGCTGATAGTGTTGGCATCTCCACGCGGCACATTTTTGATCCCAACTAAGTATGTGGACATCTACAGAACGTGGGAGATCACAATGTATTCATATCAATTAATAAGCCAGTTCGTAGTTAGCCAAGCGGTGTGTGACGTCACACGTCACCGGGTCATTTGTAACAAAAATCGATGAAATCTCGAGTGCGGTGTGCGCTCTCGGTTCTGTAACGTATATATGTACATGTATTATGTGTATGTGTACACGAACGCATGTGTACGTGCACACGCACGTGTACGCGCACATGCACGCACGCCCGCACGCGTACGTGCACACGCACGCACGTACGCGCGAACGTGTACATGCACGCACGTACGCGCGAACGTGTACATGCACGCACGTACGCCTGCACGCACGTGTACTTGCACATAAATAATACGTAACTAGGGCCTACGAACTGGCTTATTTTAGAACAATATTTATTATGAGTGCACGACCGGGTTGAATCAAATGAACTGGACGGTACCCACAAAAAATGTAGATTTTTTTAAATTGAAAAAACATCTGCCTTTACCTGTGATCAACCGACTGTTCAGGCTTAAAAAATCGTTTGTTTTCGATTACGTCTTATATGGAACTGGACTGAGTGGGTGGTCAATGGATTGTTACCATGTTACTACAATTTGTGTTCAATGACACTTAAAAGCTCATATATATTTACCTGACACTTGACGGACGTCCGCAGGAATAAAATTTCGGCTTCCTTTGATGAGGAATCTGTTAAAGAGAGTATGGAAACATTAAGAATTTGGTAGTAAATAGATTTCGTATTTAGTTAGCATTATATTTTATTGAAACGCTTCAAGTGCCTGTGTAGGCCCCGCTTACGCCAGCCCGCCGTGCTGAGAGTATTTATACAGCAAATCAAAGGGCAGGGAAGAAATTGGGGAAATGAAATTTTAAAAATCCTAGAGGAGTACGAACTGGAAGTGTCATTTACAGCCATATCGGAATAAAACCAAAAAGAGCCTGGAAAAAACAAGTCAAAAAGGCCATTTTAAAAAGAGTAAATAAAAGAGACAAATTGAAAACTATTGATAAAACAAAAATGAACATGATAAACATTGGAACATACGGATTGAAGGATTACATGAAAGAGCTATCATTTACTGATTCGTGTTTTGCATTTAAATGTAAAACGTGTATGATTGATCTCAAAGGCTACTTTAAAAATAACTTTAGTGACAATATGTGTAATAGATGTACTAAGAATATAAAAGAAGACATGGAACACTTATATAAATGTAATAGCTATAATAAATGTAAGGAGGGACAAAAAATAGAAAACTGGATAGGAGACAACCACAGGCTATTGAAACCAGAGTTAGATTACGTACGGGAAATACTGGTGACTAGAAACACTAATATCTAGAGAACTGGAGGCGGCTAAAATCTCTTTCTCTCTAGATAAACCCCGCACCTCGTAGAATCGAGTGCCTTGTGAAATACAAGAAAGGGTACCAAGATACAAGATACAAGATACAAGCAGCAGCAGCAGCAAGAGGGGAGGCGCGCGAATGCATAATATTGCCGCGAGAGGGCAGTAGGGTACAGTGACGAAGAATGGCGTATCTCGTGTAGCGTGATTTATGAGTTCCCAAAAAAAGAAGGATTATCAACGGATTTCCAGGTAATTTACTGCGGAGGGAAAGTAATATGAGTCCGTAAATGGCACGCGCAAATGCGGACATAGATTTCAGGGCCGTAGCACAGGAAGGTGAGGGGAAGTTCTCGCGCGTCGCAATGCTCAGAAACAGTCAAAATCGGCCGGTTAGTGTACGTCGCTTCAACGCATTTTTTTGGACACTTCCTGTTAACTCGCATAATGTTTGTTGGTCGAAATGAACAAAGAACACCCTCAATAGCACCCCTGTCGATCTTAAAGGGGCTACCCCCCCATTTACGAAAATGACATAGGTCTCAATGGTACCCATGTTCTCTATCCTTGAACCCCGATGTTCAGTACTCATACTCATAGTCATAATAGTCACAGGCACTTGAAGCGTTTCAACTGTAAACACACGCCACCGCCATTGCGCGCACACTGACACATAAATATATAGCAGGTAAGAAAGCGAGCGCCAGGAATTCACTCGACGCTCGCTTGATTTCACACGAATACAACACAAATACTCAACCTTCCGACTCCATCTTTGCTGCTAATACACCCGTTGACAGTTTAACACTGCGCATGCGCTTAGCCTAAGGTCAAAGGTCGGGAGGAGTTTCCGTCCCAGAAAGCGCGAGTGAAATGCGCGAACAATGGCGTTAACGTGTAGTGTGAAGGGCTGCTTAAACGGATCGTATTGGCTTAAGAAAGACTGTTAGAGCATGCATTGACCATAATTTAAATGTATCAAGTGTCATGTCACTCAGGTCATCCATTATCGGTGCGCTATTCCCTGCCACGTGCACTGTTCTTCGACACAAAGGTGAGCGACCTGCGTATGCAAGGCAGATAACGCATCGAGATAAACAATATTGCGGAGTTTACTCGCACATCCGGGCTCTCGCGGAGATGCGTAACTAATGGCGCAGAACTGTCAATGGGTGTATTGAAGTACAGTGTTTACTTGTTGTAGAAATATTATGTCTCACTTCGAAACAGAGCTGTGTCATGCAAAATCACGAATTAAATCATGAAATTCTCGCGATCGCTAGCACTGCGCACGGGATGGTAACGAACTTCGGGATCTGGAGACCCCTACCGGCCGTTCTGTTGGCGCCGTCTATGGTATCTATAGCAACGCCCCACTGGCGGCTTTGACGGGGCTCACATAGGAGGCGGAAAGCAACGCTGTTGTTACCCTAAATGCAGTGCGCCGCCTTCCGCCATGTACTTAAGTTCGTTACCATCACGCGCGCAGTGCTAGCGATCGCGAGAATTTCATGATTTAATTCGTGATTTTGCGTGACACAGCTCTGTTTCGAAGTGAGACATAATATTTCTACAACAAGTGAACACTGTACTTCAATTAGCTGCAAAGATGGAGTCGGAAGGTTGAGTATTTGTGGTGTATTCGTGTGAAATCAAGCGAGCGTCGAGCGAATTCCTGGCGCTCGCTTTCTTACCTGCTATATATTTATGTGTCAGTGTGCGCGCAATGGCGGCGGCGTGTGTTTACAGTTGAAACGCTTCAAGTGCCTGTGCTCATAGTAGTCCGCAAATGCACACGTTATAACTCCGCTTTGCTAATCTGGGGGTAAGTAATCAGTAGGGTTCCTTTCGGATTGGTGTCGAGTACTCTACTCAATCGCACTAACATTGATAGTGACGATGACGACAGTGATGATGTTGGTGTCATATGCATCTGTAGGAGAACCTATGATGCTACAGAAGGACGTGTCATTGGATGTGACAACGAAAACTGCCTATATAAATTAAATGGCTTCATTATAAGTGTATAAATTTGAAGCGTGCTCCGAAAGGATCTTGGTCACAGGCACTTGAAGCGTTTCAACTGTAAACACACGCCGCCGCCATTGCGCGTACACTGACACATAAATATATAGCAGGTAAGAAAGCGTGCGCCAGGAATTCGCTCGACGCTCGCTTGATTTCACACGAATACACCACAAATACTCAACCTTCCGACTCCCTCTTTAC